GCCGTTCACTTGCAGAACGCAAGCTTCTAGAGGGCACATAACTCTGAAGTAATGAATTTAGGTAAATGGGTGCAGATTTTTTTGTCTTTTTTTTCAACAAGAGGATGCCATCCCCCTCAATTCGAGCCCTGGCATTGTGAATATGTCTGATGTTTAGCAAATGTTTGAGATATGCAATGACTGATAGACGGTGTTCTGTCGATTTGTGAATATTGTTATTCAGCGTGAGAAAAAGGATGCAATATTGATGTGCGCATGCGCAGTAAACCCCGGTAGGACAATCTGACGGGTAGGATAAAATGTCAGGACACCGGTAATCCCATTAGCCACATTAGTATGATCATGTTGAGTTAACACGTCAACACGTGCTCTTGGTATTATATGCTGCGTCATGCCGTGTATTGGAGTTTACCTTATGTTAATATATTATCTGACAGTTGAGTATTTATTTGTGATGACTGTTTTAATTATTTATTGATACTTTGTGAGGTAGTTTGCAGTGAATACAGCGTATAAAGTACCTGAAAGCCATACTCAAGTAAAGTACAGATATCTTACCAGAAAATTACTTTGGTAGAAGTTGAAGTCACCGTTTAGAATATTACTTGAGTAAAAGTCTTAAAATATGTTATATTTATTGTACTTAAGTACGAAAAGGTTTTTTTTTATCTTAAAAGTACTTAAGTATTGAAAGTAAAAATAAATAAAAGCAAATAAATATATATATATATATATATAAAATTTTCATACACAGCTTGAGTAGCAAGATTGTGTTCAGTTTGAACTCTTTCTTCCATTTTGCAGTTTTGGGTAAGAAAAAGAAGCACTTTGTCTTTCGTTCTAACATAAGAAAACATTTCTGGAATCTGCATCTGAAATAATGTGTTTTTTGAACCTTAAACCGCATAAACACATTTCATTACACCAAATACTGTTCTTTTTAGCAGCATCATATGACCCCTTTAACCTGCAGTTACAGATGCATAAATATTTTTTTAACATAAATGTTGAATACTGATATTTTAAATGATTTAAAACATGAAATATATAAAAATAGTAGAAATGTGAAATTAAAACCGCCAGTAGGTGGCAGCAAGTGACTGTTAATGAGTGAGTCATTGGCTGTGTCCGAAATCTCCCCCTATACCCTTAAATAGGGCACTATTTGAGGGGACAGCCATTTTTATTGGTGTCCGAAACCATAGTGGACGTTCTCGAGTGCACTCATTCAATCCCACAATGCACCGCAAAAACGAGTGTACAACTGGTGCACTCTCCATGGCTAGAGAATACCCACAATGCACTGTGAGAGTCACGCACCGAATGAATTCCCTCATCTCGCCAGAAGATGGCACCCGCAGCTGAATAATCAATCCGTTCATATTACAAAGTGCTCATCCATGGCGTACAGCATTATACAACACAGGTATAAATTCATTGTAAATTGATTATTAAATTGTTTAATTAGGGTTTGTACATATTTTCCGTGACGGAGTTCAAGATAAATACTTTAGTCTTACTACTGGAGCTGCTAGTTTGCCTGTTTCAAATGATTAATAAACAGCAAGCACCAACTATGCAAAAGCGGCAGTCCTTCCGGTGCACTCATTGTCCGAATTCACTCACTCGTTTTCATTCACTCCTTCTAGTGAACTGAATTAGTGACCTAATGTAGGGAATAGTGAATGAGGGTATAGGGGGCGATTTCGGACACAGCTATTGAGATTCAACTGATTCATTTAATTGGCTGATTCATTCAGGAACATATATATTTGACTGTGTTAATGAGTGAATCACTGAATCATTTATTCAACCGATTCGTGCAAAAAGCTGATTCATTCAACTATCTTCGTTGGCAAAATTGAGCAAAAACAAGCAATATTATGTCTAAAATGTAAGTCACTTATTGCTTTACGGAACTTATATAAAATTATTATTAAATGTGTTATGCTGATATCTGCAGAAAAACGGTAATCTTTGCGTGATATAGATTGTTAACTATATTAAATTATATAAATATAAAAAGCATACAGAAGCATTTTGCCGTATACAAATTAGAATGCCTAGAATTTTGAGTTTTAATAGACTAATAAATCAACGTGCGTGCACACTGTGTGTGATTTGGTGATATAGCCTACTTGATAATGATCGCAGATCGCATATCATTACAACAACACTTACCATATTATCGCAAACGATGCTGTATATCACATACCCCGGACTCGAATTGAGTGGAAAATGAAATCATCCGCAGTTGTGTGCCTACTTGTTTGCACATGAGCAAAGGTGTTTTTAGGAGTCTAACTTGCAAGCGCCAAACCACTGATTCGTCAAACCTGCTTTCCTGCAGTCAGTGTTCTTCTGATTTCTGACTATTTTGTAGTAAGTAACGAATATGCTTCGGGGAAATGTATCGGAAAAGTAAAAAATATAAATTTTAATTAGGAAATGTAGTGGAGTAAAAGTAAAAGTTGGCTGAAATATAAAAACTCAAGTAAAGTACAGATACTCCCAAAAAATACTTAAGTAGGCCTACTGTAACGAAGTATTATTACTTCGTTACATTACACCACTGAGTGAATATGTACAGATATTGTATTCATTTTGTATTCCTCCTTTATCCTACAGACCACAACACGATTTGATAAGCCAACATAACTTGACACAGCAGTGACAATTAACGTAACTTGTCAAATACTACAAGCTGATGTGTCATAACTCCCAAATGATGGTGTAATGGATATCACTTGACTGCCTGACAAGTGCTATTAAAGAGAAGTTTGAAGAGGATTTACTTCTCCCTTGCCTGATTCTCTAACCAGAATCACTGCATATTTGTCCGCCAGTAAAACTCTAAATTAACAAGGTTGACAGAGGTGCTACCCCGCAACAATTATTATTATTAATTAAATCATTATATCAAGATAATTTAGGATATCTAAATTGATATACTTTAATAGCTATTCATGTATTAATTATTTGAGAATTATAAACTTACTGTTGGCAAAATTGAGCAAAAACAAGCAATATTATGTCTAAAATGTAAGTCACTTATTGCTTTACGGAACTTATATAAAATTATTATTAAATGTGTTATGCTGATATCTGCAGAAAAACGGTAATCTTTGCGTGATATAGATTGTTAACTATATTAAATTATATAAATATAAAAAGCATACAGAAGCATTTTTGCCGTCTACAATTTAGAATGCCTGGAATTTTGAGTTTTAATAGACTAATAAATCAACGTGCGTGCGCTCTCTGTGTGTGATTTGGTGATATAGCCTACTTGATAATGATCGCAGATCGCATATCATTACAACAACACTTACCATATTATCGCAAACGATGCTGTATATCACATACCCCGGACTCGAATTGAGTGGAAAATGAAATCATCCGCGGTTGTGTGCCTACTTGTTTGCACATGAGCAAAGGTGTTTTTAGGAGTCTAACTTGCAAGCGCCAAACCACTGATTCGTCAAACCTGCTTTCCTGCAGTCAGTGTTCTTCTGATTTCTGACTATTTTGTAGTAAGTAACGAATATGCTTCGGGGAAATGTATCGGAAAAGTAAAAAATATAAATTTTAATTAGGAAATGTAGTGGAGTAAAAGTAAAAGTTGGCTGAAATATAAAAACTCAAGTAAAGTACAGATACTCCCAAAAAATACTTAAGTAGGCCTACTGTAACGAAGTATTATTACTTCGTTACATTACACCACTGAGTGAATATGTACAGATATTGTATTCATTTTGTATTCCTCCTTTATCCTACAGACCACAACACGATTTGATAAGCCAACATAACTTGACACAGCAGTGACAATTAACGTAACTTGTCAAATACTACAAGCTGATGTGTCATAACTCCCAAATGATGGTGTAATGGATATCACTTGACTGCCTGACAAGTGCTATTAAAGAGAAGTTTGAAGAGGATTTACTTCTCCCTTGCCTGATTCTCTAACCAGAATCACTGCATATTTGTCCGCCAGTAAAACTCTAAATTAACAAGGTTGACAGAGGTGCTACCCCGCAACAATTATTATTATTAATTAAATCATTATATCAAGATAATTTAGGATATCTAAATTGATATACTTTAATAGCTATTCATGTATTAATTATTTGAGAATTATAAACTTACTAAAGCTTTGTCACATGAATGCAAGTGAAACTATAGATAATTAAATAAGTAATAAAAAACATTTAGGCCTACTTATGTTACAACTACAAATAAACCCATATATAATGCAGACTATAATGTTGATCAATGTAAAACCCATATATAATGGAGATTATGTGTAATGTTGATAAATGATAATGCTTATGTGTAATATGAAAATATAAAGTTATATATCAGCTACTCATACCCACTCATGCTGCATAAACATTAAAGCAACAACAATAACAATTATTAATAAATAAATAGGCCTATACCTCAATATATGCGCAGAGATAACCGTTTTTAGGACAGACATAATATTGTTAAGATCACGGTTTTTAATACAAACAGGTGGCACAAAACAAAAAAGACAAGGTGTTACTTTTTCCATTTAAGTAGGTTACAAGATTTGTTGAAGAGCAAGGAGTATTTATGATAAAACAGTTTTATGGTTGTAGCCTACTTACTTTGGGCGTTAATGTAAAGCACACAGACACCAATGAGTGTAATTCTTAAGAATCCTTCCATTTCTGCAAGTCAGTGAACAGCATTGGCTATCGAACAGCATGTCATCAGGTTTTCATTAGAAATGGCACGGGTTTTTTTTTCTTCACTTACATCCTCCGACTATTTTGTAGTAAGTAACGAATATGCTTCGGGGAAATGTATCGGAAAAGTAAAAAATATAAATTTTAATTAGGAAATGTAGTGGAGTAAAAGTAAAAGTTGGCTGAAATATAAAAACTCAAGTAAAGTACAGATACTCCCAAAAAATACTTAAGTAGGCCTACTGTAACGAAGTATTATTACTTCGTTACATTACACCACTGAGTGAATATGTACAGATATTGTATTCATTTTGTATTCCTCCTTTATCCTACAGACCACAACACGATTTGATAAGCCAACATAACTTGACACAGCAGTGACAATTAACGTAACTTGTCAAATACTACAAGCTGATGTGTCATAACTCCCAAATGATGGTGTAATGGATATCACTTGACTGCCTGACAAGTGCTATTAAAGAGAAGTTTGAAGAGGATTTACTTCTCCCTTGCCTGATTCTCTAACCAGAATCACTGCATATTTGTCCGCCAGTAAAACTCTAAATTAACAAGGTTGACAGAGGTGCTACCCCGCAACAATTATTATTATTAATTAAATCATTATATCAAGATAATTTAGGATATCTAAATTGATATACTTTAATAGCTATTCATGTATTAATTATTTGAGAATTATAAACTTACTAAAGCTTTGTCACATGAATGCAAGTGAAACTATAGATAATTAAATAAGTAATAAAAAACATTTAGGCCTACTTATGTTACAACTACAAATAAACCCATATATAATGCAGACTATAATGTTGATCAATGTAAAACCCATATATAATGGAGATTATGTGTAATGTTGATAAATGATAATGCTTATGTGTAATATGAAAATATAAAGTTATATATCAGCTACTCATACCCACTCATGCTGCATAAACATTAAAGCAACAACAATAACAATTATTAATAAATAAATAGGCCTATACCTCAATATATGCGCAGAGATAACCGTTTTTAGGACAGACATAATATTGTTAAGATCACGGTTTTTAATACAAACAGGTGGCACAAAACAAAAAAGACAAGGTGTTACTTTTTCCATTTAAGTAGGTTACAAGATTTGTTGAAGAGCAAGGAGTATTTATGATAAAACAGTTTTATGGTTGTAGCCTACTTACTTTGGGCGTTAATGTAAAGCACACAGACACCAATGAGTGTAATTCTTAAGAATCCTTCCATTTCTGCAAGTCAGTGAACAGCACTGGCTATCGAACAGCATGTCATCAGGTTTTCATTAGAAATGGCACGGGGTTTTTTTTCTTCACTTACATCCTCCAATAGGTTGTGTTGTCATTCTGTGACACAATAGTCTCTACGGAAAGACCTGAGTGGAAGGCAAGTGCTACAAGCATGTAAGGTATGGCAAGCTGTTTTAGCATTAAATACGCAAAGGTAATTAGAGATATCTCTAATTCAGTTTCGACTAGTCACAATTATATTTTAAGATATCTGAATTGTACCTGCTCCTAGTCGAATGTGCTGTTGTGTGACGTGAGACTAAATTTACTCAGCTCCTCCCAGAGCTCCTCCCCGACTAATGTTTAGTGCCAACTGCTAACAGCATATAAGTCTGCTTTTGTTGTCACGGAGAGAAAAGCTACTGGATGAAGTGCTTCAGGGATTATTAAATAATATCTGGATGCATTCATATGGTAAAAGGTCTCCCGCATGCATGTATGTAGCGCTGTGTGAACGGACCAAATGCAGTGTAATGTTCAATAAAGGCAGAAAACCAAAAACTGCTCATCTGAATTTAGTTATTATATATTTAGACATAATGAAGAACAATGGAATTATACAACAAAAACATGAAAAATAGTACAAATAAATGCATGACAGACAAGAACAATGCTTCATAATCAGATGCAGTTAAAAAAGGTGAAGGCTGATTTTAAAAAGATTACAATTTAATAAAAGTTTAACTGGCATTGATGACATTTATGAGTAGGTTACATTATGGATTCTGGTTTACTTGTGTCCTTATGGCAGCTTGTTTCCGCCATGGAATAAAAAATAAAGTTAATTTGCAGCTTTTTATCTTACAATTCTGACTTTTTTTTTGAAATAACAAACATTTTGACTATGGCATACAAAACTCACATTTTATAATGACTATAAACTTATTAAAGATCTCTAAACGATACTATAAGAAGTAAAGCGTCTTACCCCAATGGTAGTCAAACACGACGTGAACTTTTTGGATAGTAGTGATACCTCCTTGCAAATAACAATAGTAACTCTGAAAGTGAAACAGATTATGGTTTTGATTTCTCCAAATCCAAATTTTGCACACTTTTTGCAACAACAACAAAAAACCTCACTGTGATAGGACTTTGGCTTGTTCTGTGGTCGTCACCCCCTCAGGGTTACAGTGGAGCAGCATTTCAGCTGTTTTGTGGAACTGCTCTATGGATCTGGCTGTGAACTCGGCCAGGCTTGTAATGGCAGACAAATGGGCCTCCTATGAAAATGAAAACTCAATTGTCAGAACAAACACAAATATACATTATTCTAAGATACATGTATGCATATCTCAAAAGTATGGAAGCCCATTTCCTCCACTGAATAAATTTTTTTCAAAAAGCTTACTGCGACTTTTTATGTCCCAATTCTGACTTTTTTTTTCTCAGAATTGCGAGATATAAACAATGCGAGTTATAAACTTTATAACTCACAATTTTTACTTTATGCGAGTTGCATTGTGTTTAGCTATATCTCTCAATTCTGAGAAAAAAGTCAGAATTGTGAGATAAAAAGTCGCTATTTATTTAGTTAGTTAGTTAGTTAGTGGCGGAAACAAGCTTCCATAGGAAATAGCCCACAAGTTGGGAGTATTGTATTGTATTATAGCAAGAGATCCATGATGATGATATTCTGCTGTGTTCAATGATGACCGCCTATGTATTATTTTAACTTTATGTCAAATGTTGCAACAGCTGGCATGAGGCCTATACAAATCCTTAGCTAACCTAAAGGATAACACAATTTAATCCACAGCACACACGTCTCAACATTACGATATAGAATAGGACAAAAGCCTATCTGAGTCCTCTCTGTATAGCCTACCACTTTTACACATTCTCCAGCTACATTTTTATTTCCATACTTTTGAATTACTTCTGTATAAAACAGTTTATTTTTATAGACCTTTATTATACAACTCTTTGACAAAATGGCGGATGACAACAGTTTCCAAGGTAGGATTGGTTAATAGTGATGGGAAGTTCGGATCATTTTACCGACTCGGACCTTTGAGTCTCGTTCAGCAAAATGAACGAATCTTTTTTCGAGTAATTTCGTTCATTTCGTTCATTTTAGCAAAATACAATTAAAATGTTACATGTTACTTCCCTAACACGTCTACTAACGCAAACGTTGATCACACTACAAACAATACAAAACTGCTATAAGAAACAGAAAATATTAATTCATTGTTTACCTGGGTCTTCAGTCTATGATTAGCTCACCTCACCTCTTATCTGACAAGTCTTCGGGTTTTCCGAGTCGTTCATTCATCACGTGACAGCCCCATAAACTTAACCAATGCAGTCTGAGCCGGAAAGGGAATTGATTAGTTAATCTCTGGAGTCCTCGGGTTTGAGTCGTTCATTCATCACGTGACAGCCCCATAAGCACATACAGCCCTGGTATGATATTTATTGTTTTCACTGGAGGAAAAAATAGGAAAATAACAGACAATAAAGTTGGTGTCTTATCTCCATCCTGCCACTAGAGGTCACTCGATGACCAACAAACACATTAGGCTACTATGTTTACGGAATTACAGTGTTAACAAAACTGACAAAAATACGTTTTCTATGTGTTTGTGTACAAATAATTGTTTCTTTTCTATGTGGTTTCCTCAAAAAAGTACATCCATCTTCTTGTTTCTGTTTCCTGTCTAATCTCTCTCCTATATGTTGCGGCTCATTAATATTCAACATACGATTACCATACTGGGCAGAAATGCTAATTTAAAAAGTACTAGTATCTATTAAGTTCAGGATATCTCTGGTCTAAAAAGTTACTAGTAACTAAAAAATAAGTACTAGTTCTATTTTTTCTTAACAAGAAGAGTATAATTAAATACTAGTCACTATTGGAATAAGTACTAGTAGCTAATGATTAAGTACTAGTATCTAATGAATAAGTACTAGTAACTTTACAAAAGACACTAGTACCTAAAGAATAAACACTAGTACCTAAAGAATAAGCACTAGTAGCTAAAGAATAAGCACTAGTACCTAATGAATAAGTACTAGTACTTAATGGAAAAGATACTAGTATCTAAAAAATAGGTACTAGTACCATGAAAATAGATACTAGTACGGTTTATAGATTAAATGTTAAAACAGCTTGCCATAGTTTTGCCTAGTCAAAAATCCAATTCAAGATATCTACAACTGTAATTTGACTAGTAATAAATTACTTTTAGATATCTACAAATGTATTTTGGATATCTTTAAGAAATTATGAATTAAAGATATCTGCAATATGATTATGACTAGTCAAACACCAGTTAGCGATATCGTAAATGATCATTTTTACTAGTGTTAATTCAGTTAGAGATATCTCTAATTTAATTATCACTAGTTAAATTGTAATTTGAGATATCTCTAATTAGAATTATGCCTAGTACAAAATCAATTATAGATATCTTTAATTACAATTTCTACTAGTCAAAACTCTTTTGTAGATATCCGAAAATATTTTCCAATGGAAGTCAATGGAACAATACGACTAGTCGTAATAGCATTGTAGATATCTCGAATGTATATTATGACTAGTCAAAATAACATTGTAGATATCTTCAATGCATATAATGACTAGTCATAATCACATTGTAGATATCTTAATTCCAATTACGACGAGTCAAAATTGCAGAATAGATATCTGGAATTGGAATTTTGAGTAG